AATCAGCAGCAGCATGAGATAAATCAGCAGCAGCATGAGATAAATCAACAGCAGCATGAAATAAATCAGCAGCAGCATGAAACAGATCAGCAGCAACATGAAACAGATCAGCAGCAACATGATATGGTTTTTCACAGTGATTATTCTAGTTAGAGATTCATGAGTCTAACAGCCTCAGGGTAGAAGCTGTTCCTCAGTCTAGTGGTTCTACACTTAATGCTCCTCAACCTCCTTCCTGAGGGGAGTGGGGCAAAAAGTGTGTGTGCTGGGTGAGTGTGGTCCTTCATGATGCAGGTGGCCCTCTTCCTGCATCTGGAGGTGTAGATGTCTGTGATGGTGGGGAGGCTGACTCCAACATCTTCTGTGCAGCCTTCACCACTCTCTGCAAAGCTTTTCTTTCTGCAGCTGTGCAGCCTCCATGCCACACGTTGATGCTGGAGCACAGGATGCTCTCCACTGCACACCTGTAGAAGGAGGTGAGGACTGAGCTTCCAGACCAGCTCGTCTCAGCCGTCTGAGGAAGTAGAGTCTCTGATGAGCTTTCTTCATCAGGCTGGTGGTGTTGTTGCTCCAGCTGAGGTTGTTGTTCAGGTGCACACCCAAGTACTTGTAGCTGGAGACCACTTCCACCGCAGATCCTCTTATGTTCAGGGGGGTGTAAGTGTGTTTGTTCCTTAAGCACTTTGATAACAGTCTATCTGTTTTAAATTGTGCTCTATAAATAAATATGACTTGACTTGACTTATGAAGTCCACAATCATCTCCTTTGTCTTCTTCACATTGATGTGAAGGTTATTCTCTCTGCACCAGCTCTCCAGGTGTTCCACCTCCTGCCTGTAGCTGGACTCATCATTGTTTGTGATACATCCCACCACCGCTGTATCATCTGCAAACTTTACAATGTGACAGCCTGGATGGGTAGCTGCACAATCACATGTGAGCAGAGTAAACAGGAGGGGGCTCAACACACATCCCTGAGGAGAGCCAGTGCTGAGGGTTATGGTGGAGGAGGAGAGGTTGTGGATCCTCACTGACTGTGGTCTGTTTGTTAAAAAGTCTAGTACCCAGTTACAAATGGAGGGTCTTGGTCCTAGTGTGGATAGTTTGTCCATCAGGGTTTGGGGGATCATGGTGTTGAAGGTGGATGTGAAGTCCACAAAGAGCAGACGGACGTAAGAGTTCTTCTGCTCCAGGTGGTTGAGTGCAGTGTGGACCACAGAGGAGATTGCATCCTCTGTTGATCGGTTCTCACGGTATGCGTACTGATGAGGGTCCTCGTTGATGTTGATGGTTGTTTTGATGTGAGTCATGACCAGTTTTTCGAAGCATTTAGCGACTATCGGGGTGAGGGCCACTGGCCGATAGTCATTCAGACCAGTTACTGTAGAGCTTTTTGGGACTGGGATGATGGTGGCAGTCTTCAGGCAGGTGGGAACTGTCTCCAGGGTAAGTGAGGTGTTAAAGATGTCTGCCAGCACCTCACAGAG